TCCGCAGCCCTTTTATTGTCCAAGCTCATCTCTGAATTTTCCTTCAGCGTGCACGCTTCATTGTTGGTCAGATTCTAAAATCGTTTTGGCATGGATTCGTCAACCTCCGTCAGACTTTAACATATTTGTCTCAAGCAGGACTTCACAGATACAAGAGAGAACTAAAGGAATGAACTGGAGGCACTGATAGCGCACCTTCAGTCGAGCGTCCCTGACCCTGAGCGTCGACGCAGCGCATTGGTGCTGTCACAGGAAATGGATATTTCGTATAGTTGCAAAGAGTTGCTGAGAGTTTTCGGGTACATATATCGGTTCCATCTAACGCGCAGCAAAGATCGGGTTAGGCATAACCTCTTACAGTCGAGGAAATTAAAGGCGGTACTCATCTGCTCATTAAAGGGATTCAGCGTGTGCACTTTGCCGAGAAGCAATATGGCCCTAACTTCGAAGATGCAGCTGTCGCCAAAGAGCAGACTTCTTTCTTTGAACCCATTTCTGGATGAAGGCGTACGCCTTCAAAGTTCTCAGCTGGATTTCGATGCCAAGCACCCAATGATTCTCCCAAAGTTTCATCGCGTAACCTCAGCCAGGTTCTGGCCTATTGGAGGACGAAAAACGGTTTCTGCTGTCATCAGCAAGTGCATTCAATGCTTCAGATTAAAGCTCAAACTAGTAGAGCACATCATGGTGCTGCTCTTAGAGGATCGTGTTCAGCCGAAACGCCCATTTGTAATCGCTGAAGTTGATTTTTGTTAACCCATTCAATTCATTGTCGGAGGTCAGGAACAGGCCTCCTATGAAATGCTACATAGCCATTTTCCTTTGTTTCGTCATTGAGGCTACACACTTGGAAGAAGTCGAGGATATTTCAACTCAATCTTTTATTGCAGCGCTAATAAGATTTATAAGCCTGAGGGGGAAAGACTCAAACGATCTGGTCGGACAACGCAACCAATTTTGTGGGAGCCGAAAATGAGGTTATTGAGCCTCGGCAGTTGTTCCTCAGCGATTCTCAAAGCAGCGAGTTTTGGAGTTCCCTTACTTCGATGGAAATTAAGTTTCCCACACTTTGAAGGCTTGTGGGAAGGCGCGGTAAAATCCGCGAAATAACATTTTGAAATCGTTGTTGAAAAGTCGTTACTCACATTTCATGAGCTGCGCACCTTAGTTTGTGAATTTTCTGCAATGTTAAACTCACAGCCACACTTTCCCATTTCAGAGAACCCAGATGACATCGACGTTTTGACGCCTGCTTACTTTCTCATTTGGTCTACATTTACCTCAATGGACGAACCTGACGTCTGACATGTGTGCCAAATGCAGCAAATATTCCGGCGCAAATGGAGCACCATCAACTTTTCGTTGCTGCAGGAGCGAAGCAAATGGCAAAGGGCAACGAGGAAGTTAACTGTCCTGCCCCTTGAAACCACTTCACTTCGAAGTATGGCTCTTCCAACGGGGGGAGCATGTCAGGAGCAATCACTTAATTGAAGTAAAATCACTGATTGTTTGTTATTTGGTCAGCATCACTGACAACAAGAATGTAAACAAAGGATTCCTGAATTATCTATTTTGTATGCGTGCACGTATGGATAAGCTGAGATAAGCGCATTCAGTCGCTGATCTCCGCTCATCTTGCATTCGCTCGTTATCGTTTTCGGAACTCAGTCGCATCGCTGCAGAAATAAACACTTACATAAAAACAAAAACTCTCAGCTTTTTATTCAGCACTGTTCCGGCATCGCATACGTTTTGTTAAAAATTCGCTTTAAAAGGTGTCATAAATTAATGCCACCTTGAAACACTCGTTAATGGCCGTTTTGGGTGCTAGATTCCCAAAATGGAAGACACTATCCGCCAGATCATGGCAAAGGAAGTGTACAACACACATCCGCTAAGGAACATCATGAAAACTAGTAATGACTTAATGTAGTTTGAAAATGCCATTAGGACTGGAAATCTCGCACAAATATCAGATCTAACACTAGTAGCGGGACACATCAAGCGAACGCAGGCAGCAATCATCAACGTCGTGACCGAACTAAAAAGGCGTATAGTTGACCCTGCATTAGTCCCCGTAAGTAAATTAAGAACGGCGCTGGTAAATATACTGTGTGGAGTTGAATAACTAACAAATTGCAGCGACAATTATACATGGTGGCCTGCCGGCTACCAGATACGGCGGCTACCCTTTGCGAGTACAAGGAACATTATATGTCAAAATGCTCACAATTTTTAGGATTGACTGCCCCTCAGCGGTATAAAGAAGCGAAAAGGTTTCATCTTTGTTTAAATTACCCACGAAAGGGACACAGGAAAATCTCGAGTTCGCCGACTATCTCTTTTACAAAAGTCGGCGCATCGACTTGCTTATTGGAGCAACGTTATTTTTCGAGCTGCTTTGTATTGGACAAATTCGTTTAAGAAACCATTTACCCGTCCTTCAGAAAACCAGACTAGGCTGGATCATCTCAGGGTGTCTAAAGGTAGGAGCGTCTACGCGCTCATCTTAGTTTCTTCAGTTCAGGAAACCCAGCCGGACTCAGAGTCGATATCGAAGGAGGAAGCTCTTTGCGAGCAGCTATTTCAACAACAGTACACTCGGCTGGAATCCTGGCCAATATTCGTTCTGCTTTCTGCCGAAACTAGTTACAACTAGTTCTTGAAATTCGTGCGCTCCTTCGGTTTCAGACACTCGAAGCTAAATTAGCTAGAAATTTAGATCTGAAGTCGCAGTACACAGCCTTTATAAGGAATTACGTCAACCTTGGCCACATGTCTCTAGCACCTAAAAACGCGGCAGCGCATCAACATTATTTGCCTCATTATTGCGTGAAAAAATTGGAAAGCACAACTACGAAGCTGCTTGTTGTTGATTGATTTGTTGTACGCAGGTCGCCCCATTCAACCAAAAAGGTTCAAGGATCAGTCGATCACGAGGAGTCAAACTATCAAGATCAGTCAAAATTCCAAAGTTAACAGTCAGTCAACCGAGTGAACTACAAGGAGCCACAAGGCGAGCAAGATCGCCACGTCGAAAGGTTCGGGATTGGGACATCAGGAAAGTCCAATCACACGGCGAAGTCAAAGCGTTTGGTTTCCAACTCGGTTTGTCACGACCACACCCTGGCGAATCGCCAGCCGGGTCTGTCAGAGTCAAGCGAAAGAGGTCTGCCACAAGGAACCGTGAGCTCGGCGAGGGAAGTTGTCTAAGACCCAGCGTACCTTGCCCGAGCAAGCAGGACCTGGCGTGAAGAACGAGCGGTGGATCGATTTGTGGTTTCAAGAGTCGTTGTCCTGGAGAGCCCTGCGATTACTGGCGACGTTCCCGAACAGCTGAGGCATTCAAGAGGCGTTGTCCTGGAGGAGCCCAGCTGTTCGGCAAGTCCCGGAACGGCGGTTGCCCAAGGACACGAAAGACAGAAACAGCGCAGAGGACATCGGCAGCGACGCCAGCAGACATCACCGGCAGCCACGTCACCATCGCCGCGCGGAGCTCATAAAGCAAAGTGAACTGCTAGGCAGCTTTCTGGCGTTAGCCTTGACTGTCAGCGCGATCTGAGCAACAACCTAGCGGGACCGTCCGGGACAGAGCAAGGGACAGGTATTGCCTCGAAAGGCGATTCTCTGGAGAGCAAGGCTGGTTATCCTAGTCTGAGAACGGTGACGCTTCCCTAAGCCCGCAAGGCCGAACTCTCTGCGAGTCTAAGGCGCGACAATCGACCCCGAGGCAGCGCGTCGGCAAGCGATCAGAGGCGGCCACTACGAACATCTCGAGACACAGGAGCCAGCAGTCGTCAAGTCACGCGTCGATAGGCCAGGACGAGGAACATCATCAGCCAGTAGAACCAGAGCGTGGAGGTACCGAGGCCAGCCCAGTCACACCACTCGCTGTATTAATAAATCGAGAATAAAACCCACTGTTACCATTCGAACCCTGTGTTTCCCACTGATCTACGGGCAGTCACGTCATATAAATTTGGTGGGACGAACATACAATCTTAGGAGCTAGCAGCACGAATCTCTAGCGAGCAGACCAACAAATCTGCTTCGAATTACGTATCTCCATCAGTTTCTTCAATACATCTTATGGCGCTATAGGCCCGAAGACGAAATTCAATTATACTCGCTTGACACCAAACGTATGGCACTAAGCCTGCTGCCTTTTTGGCAATTCGTACCATGCAGCAGCTATCCTATGATGATGAAGCGGAGTTTCCAATTGCAGCCAAGATCATACGCACAAACTTATACGTTGATGATTTAATCTCAGGAGGAGACAGTTATGAAGAGGTTGTTGAAATTCGTCAACAAGTTAAGGAACTCTTGGACAGGGACATTTTCCGATTCCCAAATGGTGCTCCAACGAGCCTGCGGCGCTAAATGGAATAAAAGCGCGGCGGATGATACAAAGGCGTTGGGTTTGGCTTGGGATACTCTATCGGATAATTTGCTCCTCAGCTTCTTAAGCGGGTGGACAGGTTAGCCCGCAACCAAGCGCTGCATTCTGTCGACCATCGCTAGATTAATGGCCCCGATCATCACCAAGCTAAAGATTTTATGCAGGTCCTATGGAAGGATAAGCTTGACTGGGAAGAGTCCTTACCGCAGTCACTACACCCCGCCTTTGTTGGCGCACATGTCACAGATCGCAAAAGTAGCTTACTGGAAGTTTCCACGGATTATTTTGCAGCATTACTCATTCTGCGAAGTACAAGGATTTTGTGACGCAAGCTTGGCCGCTTACGGCGCTCAAGAGTTACGCCCTTGAGACCCTCACCATTCCGAAGCTAAAGTTATCCGCAGCCCTTTTATTGTCCAAGCTCATCTCTGAATTTTCCTTCAGCGTGCACGCTTCATTGTTGGTCAGATTCTAAAATCGTTTTGGCATGGATTCGTCAACCTCCGTCAGACTTTAACATATTTGTCTCAAGCAGGACTTCACAGATACAAGAGAGAACTAAAGGAATGAACTGGAGGCTCTGAAAGCCCACCTTCAGTCGAGCGTCCCTGACCCTGAGCGTCGACGCAGCGCATTGGTGCTGTCACAGGAAATGGATATTTCGTATAGTTGCAAAGAGTTGCTGAGAGTTTTCGGGTACATATATCGGTTCCATCTAACGCGCAGCAAAGATCGGGTTAGGCATAACCTCTTACAGTCGATTAAATTAAAGGCGGTACTCATCTGCTCATTAAAGGGATTCAGCGTGTGCACTTTGCCGAGAAGCATATGGCCCTAACTTCGAAGATGCAGCTGTCGCCAAAGAGCAGACTTCTTTCTTTGAACCCATTTCTGGATGAAGGCGTACGCCTTCAAAGTTCTCAGCTGGATTTCGATGCCAAGCACCCAATGATTCTCCCAAAGTTTCATCGCGTAACCTCAGCCAGGTTCTGGCCTATTGGAGGACGAAAAACGGTTTCTGCTGTCATCAGCAAGTGCATTCAATGCTTCAGATTAAAGCTCAAACTAGTAGAGCACATCATGGTGCTGCTCTTAGAGGATCGTGTTCAGCCGAAACGCCCATTTGTAATCGCTGAAGTTGATTTTTGTTAACCCATTCAATTCATTGTCGGAGGTCAGGAACAGGCCTCCTATGAAATGCTACATAGCCATTTTCCTTTGTTTCGTCATTGAGGCTACACACTTGGAAGAAGTCGAGGATATTTCAACTCAATCTTTTATTGCAGCGCTAATAAGATTTATAAGCCTGAGGGGGGAAGACTCAAACGATCTGGTCGGACAACGCAACCAATTTTGTGGGAGCCGAAAATGAGGTTATTGAGCCTCGGCAGTTGTTCCTCAGCGATTCTCAAAGCAGCGAGTTTTGGAGTTCCCTTACTTCGATGGAAATTAAGTTTCCCACACTTTGAAGGCTTGTGGGAAGGCGCGGTAAAATCCGCGAAATAACATTTTGAAATCGTTGTTGAAAAGTCGTTACTTACATTTCATGAGCTGCGCACCTTAGTTTGTGAATTTTCTGCAATGTTAAACTCACAGCCACACTTTCCCATTTCAGAGAACCCAGATGACATCGACGTTTTGACGCCTGCTTACTTTCTCATTTGGTCTACATTTACCTCAATGGACGAACCTGACGTCTGACATGTGTGCCAAATGCAGCAAATATTCCGGCGCAAATGGAGCACCATCAACTTTTCGTTGCTGCAGGAGCGAAGCAAATGGCAAAGGGCAACGAGGAAGTTAACTGTCCTGCCCCTTGAAACCACTTCACTTCGAAGTATGGCTCTTCCAACGGGGGGAGCATGTCAGGAGCAATCACTTAATTGAAGTAAAATCACTGATTGTTTGTTATTTGGTCAGCATCACTGACAACAAGAATGTAAACAAAGGATTCCTGAATTATCTATTTTGTATGCGTGCACGTATGGATAAGATGAGATAAGCGCGTTCAGTCGCTGATCTCCGCTCATCTTGCATTCGCTCGTTATCGTTTTCGGAACTCAGTCGCATCGCTGCAGAAATAAACACTTACATAAAAACAAAACTCTCAGCTTTTTATTCAGCACTGTTCCGGCATCGCATACGTTTTGTTAAAAATTCGCTTTAAAAGGTGTCATAAATTAATGCCACCTTGAAACACTCGTTAATGGCCGTTTTGGGTGCTAGATTCCCAAAATGGAAGACACTATCCGCCAGATCATGGCAAAGGAAGTGTACAACACACATCCGCTAAGGAACATCATGAAAACTAGTAATGACTTAATGTAGTTTGAAAATGCCATTAGGACTGGAAATCTCGCACAAATATCAGATCTAACACTAGTAGCGGGACACATCAAGCGAACGCAGGCAGCAATCATCAACGTCGTGACCGAACTAAAAAGGCGTATAGTTGACCCTGCATTAGTCCCCGTAAGTAAATTAAGAACGGCGCTGGTAAATATACTGTGTGGAGTTGAATAACTAACAAATTGCAGCGACAATTATACATGGTGGCCTGCCGGCTACCAGATACGGCGGCTACCCTTTGCGAGTACAAGGAACATTATATGTCAAAATGCTCACAATTTTTAGGATTGACTGCCCCTCAGCGGTATAAAGAAGCGAAAAGGTTTCATCTTTGTTTAAATTACCCACGAAAGGGACACAGGAAAATCTCGAGTTCGCCGACTATCTCTTTTACAAAAGTCGGCGCATCGACTTGCTTATTGGAGCAACGTTATTTTTCGAGCTGCTTTGTATTGGACAAATTCGTTTAAGAAACCATTTACCCGTCCTTCAGAAAACCAGACTAGGCTGGATCATCTCAGGGTGTCTAAAGGTAGGAGCGTCTACGCGCTCATCTTTAGTTTCTTCAGTCCAGGAACCCAGCCGGACTCAGAGTCGATATCGAAGGAGGAAGCTCTTTGCGAGCAGCTATTTCAACAACAGTACACTCGGCTGGAATCTGGCCAATATTCGGTTCTGCTTTCTGCCGAAACTAGTTACAACTAGTTCTTGGAAATTCGTGCGCTCCTTCGGTTTCAGACACTCGAAGCTAAATTAGCTAGAAATTTAGATCTGAAGTCGCAGTACACAGCCTTTATAAGGAATTACGTCAACCTTGGCCACATGTCTCTAGCACCTAAAAACGCGGCAGCGCATCAACATTATTTGCCTCATTATTGCGTGAAAAAATTGGAAAGCACAACTACGAAGCTGCTTGTTGTTGATTGATTTGTTGTACGCAGGTCGCCCCATTCAACCAAAAAGGTTCAAGGATCAGTCGATCACGAGGGGTCAAACTATCAAGATCAGTCAAAATTCCAAAGTTAACAGTCAGTCAACCGAGTGAACTACAAGGGAGCCACAAGGCGAGCAAGATCGCCACGTCGAAAGGTTCGGGATTGGGACATCAGGAAAGTCCAAATCACACGGCGAAGTCAAAGCGTTTGGTTTCCAACTCGGTTTGTCACGACCACACCCTGGCGAATCGCCAGCCGGGTCTGTCAGAGTCAAGCGAAAGAGGTCTGCCACAAGGAACCGTGAGCTCGGGGAGGGAAGTTGTCTAAGACCCAGCGTACCTTGCCCGAGCAAGCAGGACCTGGCGTGAAGAAGAGCGGTGGATCGATTTGTGGTTTCAAGAGTCGTTATCCTGGAGAGCCCTGCGATTACTGGCGACGTTCCCGAACAGCTGAGGCATTCAAGAGGCGTTGTCCTGGAGGAGCCCAGCTGTTCGGCAAGTCCCGGAACGGCGGTTGCCCAAGGACACGAAAGACAGGAAACAGCGCAGAGGACATCGGCAGCGACGCCAGCAGACATCACCGGCAGCCACGTCACCATCGCCGCGCGGAGCTCATAAAGCAAAGTGAACTGCTAGGCAGCTTTCTGGCGTTAGCCTTGACTGTCAGCGCGATCTGAGCAACAACCTAGCGGGACCGTCCGGGACAGAGCAAGGGACAGGTATTGCCTCGAAAGGCGATTCTCTGGAGAGCAAGGCTGGTTTATCCTAGTCTGAGAACGGTGACGCTTCCCTAAGCCCGCAAGGCCGAACTCTCTGCGAGTCTAAGGCGCGACAATCGACCCCGAGGCAGCGCGTCGGCAAGCGATCAGAGGCGGCCACTACGAACATCTCGAGACACAGGAGCCAGCAGTCGTCAAGTCAACGCGTCGATAGGCCAGGACGAGGAACATCATCAGCCAGTAGAACCAGAGCGTGGAGGTACCGAGGCCAGCCCAGTCACACACTCGCTGTATTAATAAATCGAGAATAAAACCCACTGTTACCATTTGAACCCTGTGTTTTCTCATTGATCTACGGGGCAGTCACGTTATATAAATTTGGTGGGACGAACATACAATCTTAGGAGCTAGCAGCACGAATCTCGTAGCGAGCAGACCAACAAATCAGCTTCGAATTACGTATCTCCACCAGTTTCTTCAATACATCTTATGGCGCTATAGGCCCGAAGACGAACTTCAAGTATACTCGCTTGACACCAAATGTACGGCACTAAGCCTGCTGCCTTTTCTGGCAATTCGTATAATGCAGCAGCTATCCTGTGATGATGAAGCGGAGTTTCCAATTGCAGCCAAGATCATACGCACAAACCTATACGTTGATGATCTAATCTCAGGAGGAGACAGTTATGAAGAGGTTGTTGAAATTCGTCAACAAGTTAAGGAACTCTTGGACAGGGGACATTTTCCGATTACCAAATGGTGCTCCAACGAGCCTGCGGCGCTAAATGGAATAAAAGCGCGGCGGATGATACAAAGGCGTTGGGTTTGGCTTGGGATACTCTATCGGATAATTAGCTCCTCAGCTTCTTAAGCGGGTGGACAGGTTAGCCCGCAACCAAGCGCTGCATACTGTCGACCATCGCTAGATTAATGGCCCCGATCATCACCAAGCTAAAGATTTTTATGCAGGTCCTATGGAAGGATAAGCTTGACTGGGAAGAGTCCTTACCGCAGTCACTACACCCGCCTTTGTTGGCGCACATGTCACAGATCGCAAAAGTAGCTTACTGGAAGTTTCCACGGATTATTTTGCAGCATTACTCATTCTGCGAAGTACAAGGATTTTGTGACGCAAGCTTGGCCGCTTACGGCGCTCAAGAGTTACGCTCTTGAAGACCCTCACCATTCCGAAGCTAAAGTTATCCGCAGCCCTTTTATTGTCCAAGCTCATCTCTGAATTTTCCTTCAGCGTGCACGCTTCATTGTTGGTCAGATTCTAAAATCGTTTTGGCATGGATTCGTCAACCTCCGTCAGACTTTAACATATTTGTCTCAAGCAGGACTTCACAGATACAAGAGAGAACTAAAGGAATGAACTGGAGGCTCTGAAAGCGCACCTTCAGTCGAGCGTCCCTGACCCTGAGCGTCGACGCAGCGCATTGGTGCTGTCACAGGAAATGGATATTTCGTATAGTTGCAAAGAGTTGCTGAGAGTTTTCGGGTACATATATCGGTTCCATCTAACGCGCAGCAAAGATCGGGTTAGGCATAACCTCTTACAGTCGAGGAAATTAAAGGCGGTACTCATCTGCTCATTAAAGGGATTCAGCGTGTGCACTTTGCCGAGAAGCATATGGCCCTAACTTCGAAGATGCAGCTGTCGCCAAAGAGCAGACTTCTTTCTTTGAACCCATTTCTGGATGAAGGCGTACGCCTTCAAAGTTCTCAGCTGGATTTCGATGCCAAGCACCCAATGATTCTCCCAAAGTTTCATCGCGTAACCTCAGCCAGGTTCTGGCCTATTGGAGGACGAAAAACGGTTTCTGCTGTCATCAGCAAGTGCATTCAATGCTTCAGATTAAAGCTCAAACTAGTAGAGCACATCATGGTGCTGCTCTTAGAGGATCGTGTTCAGCCGAAACGCCCATTTGTAATCGCTGAAGTTGATTTTTGTTAACCCAGGCCTCCTATGAAATGCTACATAGCCATTTTCCTTTGTTTCGTCATTGAGGCTACACACTTGGAAGAAGTCGAGGATCTTTCAACTCAATCTTTTATTGCAGCGCTAATAAGATTTATAAGCCTGAGGGGGAAAGACTCAAACGATCTGGTCGGACAACGCAACCAAATTTGTGGGAGCCGAAAATGAGGTTATTGAGCCTCGGCAGTTGTTCCTCAGCGATTCTCAAAGCAGCGAGTTTTGGAGTTCCCTTACTTCGATGGAAATTAAGTTTCCCACACTTTGAAGGCTTGTGGGAAGGCGCGGTAAAATCCGCGAAATAACATTTTGAAATCGTTGTTGAAAAGTCGTTACTCACATTTCATGAGCTGCGCACCTTAGTTTGTGAATTTTCTGCAATGTTAAACTCACAGCCACACTTTCCCATTTCAGAGAACCCAGATGACATCGACGTTTTGACGCCTGCTTACTTTCTCATTTGGTCTACATTTACCTCAATGGACGAACCTGACGTCTGACATGTGTGCCAAATGCAGCAAATATTCCGGCGCAACTGGAGCACCATCAACTTTTCGTTGCTGCAGGAGCGAAGCAAATGGCAAAGGGCAACGAGGAAGTTAACTGTCCTGCCCCTTGAAACCACTTCACTTCGAAGTATGGCTCTTCCAACGGGGGGAGCATGTCAGGAGCAATCACTTAATTGAAGTAAAATCACTGATTGTTTGTTATTTGGTCAGCATCACTGACAACAAGAATGTAATCAAAGGATTCCTGAATTATCTATTTTGTATGCGTGCACGTATGGATAAGCTGAGATAAGCGCATTCAGTCGCTGATCTCCGCTCATATTGCATTCGCTCGTTATCGTTTTCGGAGCTCAGTCGCATCGCTGCAGAAATAAACACTTACATAAAAACAAAAACTCTCAGCTTTTTATTCAGCACTGTTCCGGCATCGCATACGTTTTGTTAAAAATTCGTTTTAAAAGGTGTCATAAATTAATGCCAACTTGAAACACTCGTTAATGGCCGTTTTGGGTGCTAGATTCCCAAAATGGAAGACACTATCCGCCAGATCATGGCAAAGGAAGTGTACAACACACATCCGCTAAGGAACATCATGAAAACTAGTAATGAC